GGAATAATGTGTTGTTTTTGTTTTGGATATTGTTTTTATCACTAGTTTTATTACAATATATGCATGTTTAGGATTAAATGCATCAAAATAAACTAATTCAAAGGTAACAGAACTTTGTAATACTTGGTTTATTTACATAATGACTTTAATTGCTGGATGTTTTGCCCCCAAAAGCAGTTTACTGTAGTTGAAAAGCCCTGCTTTATATGATTGGATGTTACTTCTTGTTGCGGTTTAATAAATAATACAACCATAATGTCAATGAAGTTGTGTAAAACAAATAAAAACTGAATATAATATATTCCATTAAATAAATAATAATTTCAAAGTGAGTGAATATTTGCAAAAAACAATAAAGTTTATCCATTTGAACAATAAACATTTTGTCTTTGTAGTCTATTCAATTGAATGTACAGTTAGTTGAAAATGATTTGAATATCATCATATTCTGTTTTTATTTGTGTTTTGCACAACTTGAGTAACCAGTAAATTAATTCTAACCTTTTACAAAGTTCTTATTATTGATTAGGTGACAGAGTTGTTACCATTCACACACCCACCTATGCAAACTCTTGGGTCTTTAATATCTCTGCTGGGGTCTTTGTAGTAAAACGGTTTGCACGTCTCACAGTTGCGTCCCACTGTGTTGTGCTGGCAGTCGTCACACACGCCGCCGCTGATGTTTCCCGTGGCCAAATAGACCGCCATGTCGAAGTGACACTGGTTGGAGTGGCTGTTGCAATTACATCCTATAGAAAATACATTTTTATGTCGTGAAATTTCTGTTTTGTCAAGAGTTTGACAGAAATCAAAGTGTGAGTCGTTGACATTTTTTAGCAGACAATTTAAATAGATAATAATAATAAGCTTTGAGTGACCCTGGACTCACTCTTGCAGGCGTTCGTGTTGCGCCCTTCAGCTGGCCTCCAGGGCTGGTCGTTATAAAAATCATCACACTGCTCACAGTTTAAACCTTTAGTGTTGTGGTTACAAACACATCTACCGTGAACCTGCAAAGAAACAAGGGTTAAGTTCATTTAATCTGTCTGGAGTTAAAACAGCTCGTCTCGTTCCTGTTGTGAGTCCTCACCATTCCCTCGATGTCATCCCTGATGCCATCGATGGGGGCACATTCTGAGGCATGGCCGTAACAGAAGCAGTTTCCACGTACAATGAGTTCATATATGGCGTAGTAATACTTCTCTTTGATCTCAGCTCTGGGGTCCAGCAGGTTGTCTCCCAGTGTGTGAAGTTTGGTGAAGTTAACCCTCAAGTTGGTGATTTTCAACTGATCTGATGGGAAAACAACAGGAAGAAGCAGGGAATTAACAGAAGCAGAAAAATCCAGCGCTAACACACTTTATGCCTAAAAGAATTGTTAAAAATATCCTTTTTACATAAAAATAGGTTGTCCTGATGCATCTCAGTAATCCAGGTAAAAAATCAAAAAGAAAAAAATTGTATAGGTCTTCTGGACGGGTTCTTC